AGTCGCCCCGGGGTTGCGATATCTCCTCTCGGCAGTAGTTAGACTCAGATATATTCATTCCAGCTAGACAGCACTTTGTGTCCGACCCGAGCGGGTGCCGGAGAGAGAATCGGGATTCCTGCCGCGTCCCACCGGGTCCAGCACCGCCGAGCAGCCGCCCGCAGCTCGCTTCCCTCGCCTGCCTTCGGGGGACTCGGGCTCGTCTGCGTTTGTTTTGGTTTCTTTTCTTTTTTTTTTTTTCCTATCTTTTTTTTGGTTTTTTCCCCCCTTTCCCCCCAAAAAAAAACTTTTGGGATGATGCTGGGCTGGAAGGGGCAAAATATAGCCGGGCTGGACCAATCAGCGGGGCGAGGGGAGGAGGAGAGGGAGAGGAGGAGATGAGGGGGAGGAGGAGAAGGAGGAGACGAGGGGGAGGAGGAGGAGGAGGGAAGGGGGGCGTCCCCAGGCACCAGCAGGAAGAACCACCCGGGGAGGGCCGAGCTGGGACCGGTGTGGAAGCTTCTGCCCCGTTCCCTTCTGTCCAAGGAGAAGGGTTGTTACATTTTTCTCTCATTCTTTCTAATTTTTAAAAATTTTCTTTAATTTTCTTTCTTTCTTTCTCTCTTTCTCTCTTTCTTTCTCTCTTTCTTTCTTTCTCTCTTTCTTTCTCTCTTTTTTTCTCTCTTTCTCTCTCTCTCTTTCTCTCTCTCTTTCTGTTTTCCTGTCTTTCTTTCTCTCGGTCTTTATTTATGTCTTCTTTATGTTTTTGTGTGTTTTTTTTTTTTCTCTTCTATTTGTGAGCCCCTTTTCGGCTCGCTGTGCCCTGCCCTCGCCCCCTGCCACCAGTGGTGCCGAGGCAGGGGAGCAGGGAAGCAGGGATCAGGGAGGCAGGGAGGCAGGGAAGCGCTCAGCTTTGCCTGCCAGGCTGTGTGCAGCAGCACAGGGATGTTCAGGGCTCGGCGTTTATTTTCTTACGGCTGACTCGGTGTGTGTTTTTTGGCCAGCGTTCCCCATCCGGGGCTGGGAGCAGCCCTGGGGTGAAGGCAGGGGTGAGCCCTCTTTCCCTGGCAATTTTCTGTGGGAATTTCAGTGTCAGGCACAGAAACGGCTTCTCGAGTTTTACACGAAAAGCATTGTGTTTTCTAGGGACTGCTGAGGAACGGGGGGTTCAGTGTCAGCCAGGTGATGGTAGCCAAGCCCACCCTGCAGGGGCTGGCACAGCTGTGCTGTCGCTGTGTGCCTTGGGCACGGCTGGGTGCCCACAGCACGCTGCCATCGGCAGCCACAGCAAAGCAGCACGTCCCCTGCCACCAGGTCACTGCTCCACTGGCTTGGCTGCCATCCAGAGGGGATTTGCAGTGCCAAGGGTCAGCCCAGGTGGTCTGAAGGTCCTTCCTGCACTGGAGTTACACGGGATCCATTTGCAATCCAAAGCCTGGCACACCGTGCCTGCCCCCTGAAACCCCCAGGGCAATGGGGCTGACTTGGGAGAGATGTGCCAGCCCCGGGTAGCTGCCCCCAGGCCCTCTCTGGCTGTGGACATGCCCCAGACCCCAGGCTGAAATGTGAACCTCAGCCTCAGGAAGACTTGGGGCGCTGGGTTGCGCAAGAGCCCAGCTCCAGCCTCTCACAGCCGTGGGGTATTGCATGCCATGGTTTCTGTGTGTCTGGAAGTGATTTGGACAAGCCGATCTGCTGTTAACCCTAAACAAAACAAAGGCCTCTAAAAAATAAAAAAAAAAAATTAAAAAAATCATGTCTCACTTATTCTTCAATCGTCAACCAGGAGCGACAGAGGTTTCGGGCGAGATTTCCTTCATGTTTCTGGAGCTTCTTATTAAAATTTTGAAAGTGCAAATCAGCACCAGTCCACAGGAGAGCCCACACAGCTGCAAGGAGTCTCCTCTCCTCTCCCCCATGCAGAGGGAGCTGGAGCACTGCTTTGGTGGAGAAGCAGTCCCTGCTGCCATCCAGAGCAGAGCCCCTGCAGGCTTTGGCTCTTTGTCCCTGCTCTGGGAGGAGCAAGGTGGGTGCTGGGGGATCTGGGGACTCTCAGGCTGGGACCTGAGGCAGCCTGTGGAGTGAAGTGAGGAGGCTTTGGGGCAATCAGTCTGAGCAGCTGATGGGGACATCTCCTTCTCCCAGGCTTCAGCCAAGCATGTGTTGCTTTCCCTGATCACGTCCTCTCTGTGCCTCCTCCACGGCCCTGGCACAATCCTTGGCCTCCAGGTGGGCTCAGAGCCACTCTGGAGCTGGGGTTGGACCTGGTGGCACCAGCTGGCATTTGGGATGGGGTGGGGATGAGCTGCAGCAGGGTGGGAGTGGGGGCAGCTCTGATTTTCCTAGCCCTGGAATGGTGTTAAGAGCTGGGACAAACCCTGCCCAAGGGAGGTAGAGCCTCATGTCATCCACATTGCCCTGTGCAGCCATTCCAGACCTGGGCTCAGGATGCTCTGCCTGTTGCAGGGGGCAGAGATCAGGGTGGTGCTGCTGTCCCTGTTATAATGGGATCATTTGAGAGCTCCTGACCATGGAGCAAAGCCAGGCACTTTGACCCTCAAGCTCACATGAGACCCAGCCTTGCATTTGGTCTGCAAACCTGGTCTTATAGTGCATTTGCTGTTGGTTCTGCATCATTAGGAAATCATTAAGGGAAAAAAAAGGAATTAAAAAATGGGAAAAAAAAGCAAAAAAGGAAACAAAAAGGAAAAAAAGGAATGGGATGAAGAGCCATAGCGTATGGCATGGTTTTGGAGGAGGCAAAGCACAGAGAGAGGGGAAGGAGAGCTGAGGGGGATGGAGCAGTATACAAAGCACACAAAAATGCCTGGATGCAGAAATGCCTGTGTGCAAAGCACCCAAAATATCCCGGGAGGAGCCTGCCCTCAAGGACAATGCCACCCTGCTTTGTTCCCCTTGGTGTACCCACAGCCAGCGCCACAGAGCTGCACTCCAGGAGTGAGAGCCCCTAACCCAGGTGTGGGGTGAAGCTGCAGGGTCTGTGCCTGGCTCAGCTTT